GAAATTAACAGCCTACATTTGATTTTTTTTTACAACGATGCTCCATATTGCAGGCAACATCGACATCGTCGAGCCTGTTATGTAGGCCTGGGAGAGAATAAAATATTAATACCACAAGTAAAAATAGTCAAATAAGCTGACATTACCTCGAACTTCTCGCGTTGTCCATGAGAACAGCCAATGTCTCTGCCTGGGTGTTTCTGCCGAGCACGTCACCATTCGTAACATTTTTTCATCTGCATTATAATTGCGTCTTTGACCACCACGACCGCCATTGATATATTTACCGGTAGATAATTTCACTCGTGCACGACGACCGCACAGTGTTCTAGCATCCAAACCACTCACATAAACCTTGTGGTCACTAGGATAACGAGACATTTTTTTTTTGAACATTCTTCCTTTATGTTGCTAACCACAATTTTAATTCAATATATGCGGTCTATTTATTAAGAATTACACAAATATTATAAACGCAATTTTAACCACTAAACAAATTATTTCAAATCACTGAAACAACTTCATGTGCATTGCTCGCACAGACAAAAATAAAGAAACGTGTAAAAGCTTTTATTTTTGTTTTGTTTTGATCCATATAATTGAGGCGAATTATGTCGAAAGCTCCAATAAAGTTTGACTTAGATATTAAAATATGGTATTGCCAAGTACAAATAGTACATTTAAGACAAATTTTAACTTTATTGGAAGGAAACAATAAAGTAAGCTTTTTTAAAGGTCATCACCCTCAAACAAATAATTACACACAAAACAAAACCAGCAAAGCCAACTAGATGAGTGGTGGAAATCTTTCAAGGGCAGTCTACGGTAAACGAAGATCTAACAGAATCCCTAACGTGGCTGCAGGATGGTTCTGTTAGTCAAATTGACTATATAAGAGCCAGTGGAGGCTTGATTCGCTCTCTTATGATAGTGATGTTTTCTGAGGAAGTCGAACAGAACAGTTCAGTTCGTTGTTAAAAACCGGCAAAACAAAAATTACTTTTATTAAATTAAAGTTACTAAAAGTGCATAAAATTGTAAATGTTAAAAGAAAATTACTTTTATTAAATTAAAGTTACTAAAAGTACATAAAATTGCAAATGTTAAAAGAAAATTACTTTTATTAAATTAAAGTTACTAAACGTACATAAAATTGCAAATGTTAAAAGAAAATTAATTTTATTAAATTAAAGTTACTAAAAGTACATAAAATTGCAAATGTTAAAAGAAAACTACTTTTATTAAATTAAAGTTACTAAAAGTGCATAAAATTGCAAATGTAAAAAAAAAAAAATTACTTTTATTAAATTAAAGTTACTAAAAGTACATAAAATAGCAAATGTTAAAAGAAAATTACTTTTATTAAATTAAAGTTACTAAAAGTGCATAAAATTGTAAATGTTAAAAGAAAATTACTTTTATTAAATTAAAGTTACTAAAAGTACATAAAATTGCAAATGTTAAAAGAAAACTACTTTTATTAAATTAAAGTTACTAAAAGTGCATAAAATTGCAAATGTAAAAAAAAAAAAAATTACTTTTATTAAATTAAAGTTACTAAAAGTGCATAAAATCACAAATGTTAAGAAAAAAATGAAATTTATTAATTTAAATATAATAAAAAGTGTATAACAATACCCATAACAAGCAATAATTAATTTTATCAATTTAAAATTACTAAACGGTGCATAAAAACCCAAATGATAAACAAAAATTAAATGTTATTAATTTAAAAAGGGCATAAAAGTGCAAATCTTGAACCAGAGTTAATTATATTATCAGCTCATAAAAGGATTACACACAGTTTAAAAATTCCACGGTAAAAAAAAAAAAACTAACGGATGTAACGGAAAAAAAAAAAAGAGAACGGACACTGAAGGACAATAACGGCTACAGGATCCACCGTTATGAGACAACGGTGGTCAGGTATTCCTGAAATTAAGGATACGAATTGATTTGAATTTGAAAAAAAAAAAAGAGAAAAAAGTTAAAGATTTGATTGTATAATTTCAATTGTTGTTATTATTGTTAAATTTATTTAGGTAGTTATTATTCAGCAGATATTAAATTATAGAAAAAAAAAAAGTTATCAACGCATCACAAGGAAAAAAAAAGAAAAAGAAAATAAGTTCATTACAACCACCAGTATATAAATATTTGTCTCTTGATTTTAATTTGTTTGTAATTTTGAAATTTATAGCTAGGTCAGTGGCGGTTGGAGTGACGTCATTTCTGCGGCTGCAAGGTAAGCTATGAGAACGAATAGCGAAGAGACAATTAATTTTTTTTTTGGTTAACAAGACTGAATGTTTTGTAGTTGAATTTCTCTTTATTCTTTTTGTTGGTTCTGTCTATATGATCAATATTACAATTTTTTTTTTTTCTCTTTTCTATTATATTGTTGATGCTTTGATTAGGGAGTTTTCTTTTTCATACACGCTAATTATTACCATTATAAGTATAGCAAAACAAAGAAAAAAAAAATAGTTTGTATAAAGTAATGAATAAAAACCTAATAATTACTGGCTGTTTATTATATTATTTGTGATAAGAATATATATAGATGTTGAATACATTGTCTAATAATGTAAATATTTATACGGGCTTAAATATTTAATAAACAAGAAAAAAAAAAAAAATATTATATAGGAATTATATGTATATATGAAATACGTTGTAATTATCTATTTATATAAGAAATATTGTAAATATTCCTACATGAATTAGCATAAATAGCTATATTTGCGTAAATATTTTTGATAAAAATTTTTTTACTAATTTGAAATAATATTATAAGCGTTATAAAACAACTTTTGTATTGATAGTATATAATAAAAAAAAAAAAAAATATATATATATATAATTTTTTTTTGTTATTTATTAATTATGAGCTCATGATGAGACATTGTTGAATCAATATAGAGGGGTGTTGTTAGTGTGGCGGTCCAAACATCTGTTTTATTAAAGGCAGGGATTCCTTGAGAAGAAATTGCATTCCTATATTCTTCGCGTGAATTTAAAATGAAGCGGTTTACTGACAGCATGCAAGCATTACCAGATGTATTGCCAGTGTTTCCCACATTTGAGCAAACCGTGACGATGCAGGCTGGTGATGTTAAAAACATCGATTGGGAGATGGAAGAGTCCATCATATCTGAAATGAAACGAGTGGGGTTGCCCAGAGGCAGAACCAGTGATTTAGGTGTAAGCCTAGCGCATACTGAACTTCCTAAGGCAGCGGTGGTAATAGTGAACACCAGGAACAAGGCTCTTCCCATCCTATTCGATGAAGATTTTTTTAAGTTTAAGAAGCCCAAATAGATAGCAGTGGTTTTAATTACAGATTTTTTTTTAGGGTCACGTAAAAATGAAGTAGATAAATAATAGTTTTTTTTGTTTTTTTTTTTAGCATTGAAATAAGCAGTGTAGTTAGTTTATTATATGAATATGAATAAATGTAAAGATGAAATATTAATGAATTATAGATAGGTTTAGTTAAGTTAGGATATGAATTTAAAACATGGCATGAAATAATGATTATTATATGAATATTAATAAATGTAAAGATGAAATGTTAATAAATTATAGATAAGTTTAGTTACGTTAGGATATGAATTTAAAACATGGCATGAATTTTTGTTGTTGTCTACAGTGTAGCCTCAGTTGTCAAGAACCCCACCCCAAAACCGGCGAGCATACCGGGCTAGCCACCATGCCATGAGCGGCGACCGAGGGCACTAATTCTAATACCAGGTGGACACAACATATTATATTACGACTTTGATCTACAGCACGCAAATTTTGTTTTAGTTTAAGCATGACCCGTTTATCTGATTGTTTCTCAGCACTTAAGTCCCTCTCAATTGAAATGTCAGTATTAGCAAGTTTTTTAATATTGTTGAAGATATTAAATATACACTGCTCTGCTTGAAACTCGGCAACGACTCCTATTTTGTCGTGATTTTCGAATATTTTTCTTACAGAAGCTATTTGCACATCATCGACGTGCAGAACTTCAGCACATAATTTCCGAATCGCCAATGTTGGATTGTCAGTTTTTTCAAACCCTTGATAACAAGCGATTTACGTTTTCGTGCATTTATAATATAATTAATATTACGTGCATCCCGTTCGGGCTGTTGTTCGAGCTGCGTCACTTTCTGTTTTAGCACACTATTCTCTGCCGTTAGCTCTGTAATCTTACTAGAGAGTTCGCCCACTTCCGACACAATCACCTATAAATCGGCTTTTGTTGGAAAGTTGCTTAGCTTTTCATCCAACAAGTCAGCCAATGATGCTCTCATTAACCCCATCAGTTTTGTTATACACATATTACCTACTTGCATTGTAGATTTCGCCTGGTTTATTTCTTCTGGGGAAAGTTCTGTCAATGGTCTTTTAGCTGCTGAGGTTCTTACTTGTATTTTTGATACTTGCGTACTCGATTTGTTTGGTGTTCCTGCTGTTGACATTTTTGAAGCTGTAGTTTAATTTTACCAAATTCAGTTTTAGATGCTTCGCCTAGAAGTCTGTGAAAAAATTTATATATATATAGCAGTTTTTTTAAAAATTAGAATTTGTTAGCATATACTCAAACCACTCTGAGCTTTACTACTTATAATTCGCTTTACGTTCCACTTATCGCCAGCACTTTTATTTACAATTGGTAATTACTGTTTTTGAATGCAACGCTATCTTGCCTGCAGAAGTCTCAATTGTATTAAATTGTACTAATCTTCACTTTTAACAGCTCACTTGAATGCGTTGCAATGTCTGGAATGTTTATTTATTATTGTCACCCAATTGTAACCACTTTTTCGCAATATAATTCAATTTTATTAGAAAACTAATTCGAGCGCGCACTTACTTGATATATTCCACTAGGGTTGTCAAGTCAAACTTTGGAGTTATGTGGAGCTTTATTGGGTAGCGAACTTGCAACGAGAGTGAAACATGATTTAAAATATGATAGCAAGGCTATATATTTTTGGCCTGATTCAATGACGGTTATTTCTTGGATAAACACCGAATCAGCACTACCAGATAAATTCATAACCAACAGAATAGCAGTAATTCAAGAGCTGACAACTCCAGATCACATCAACTCCAGATATGTAAGCTCAAAAGATAATCCAGCAGATTTTGTTTCACGAGGAGTGTCCCCACAAAAAATGAGCACATGTCACCTTTGGTTTTATGGGCCACAATTTTTACATGGTGACAAACAAAGATGGCCAGTAGCATATGATAAACATTGGAATATAGATTATGAACACAAATTTGATTTGAAAGAACAAACTACATCGTTGGCATCAATGACAACCAGTCAAGAAGAGATGATCTATACAATTAATCATCGAAACTCATTTAAGGTTTTGAACAGAATAGTAGCTTATGTGCTAAGGTTTATTAAACAATGTAAAGTAAAAAACCATCAACGCAAATCCAGTATCCTATTAACTCCTGAAAAACTAAATGAGAGTTTGAACACAATTATCAAAGTCATACAAAGTGCAGATTTCAAGGACGAAATGAGAAAATTGTTGAAATCGTATGCAATCAGTCCAAGTAGCCTTTTAAATGGACTTGCACCATTTGTTAATACAAATGGAATAATTAGGGTTGCCGGAAGGTTGGAAACATCTTCATTAAGTTATCATGCAAAACATCCAATGGCATTACCTTACAATGACCCATTGGTTACGTTGTTGATGCAGGATACTCACAAGAAAAAACTGCATTATGGACCGCAGACATTGCTAGCACAAGTACGACAAAAATGTTGGCCAATCAAGGGACTATCCATGGCGAGATCAGTAGTTCAACATTGTATTCGGTGTTAGAAGGCCAGGCCGACATTGTATAACCAAATCATGGGAAACTTGCCAAGTTCAAGAATAGAACCTGCACGACCATTTCTTCATTTCGGTATCGAATTTTTTGGTCCGCTATTGGTACATTACAAGATACGCGGAAAGCAGCCTACTAAAGTGTATCTTGCGGTATTTTGTTGTTTCGCAACAAAGGTTGTTCATCTTGAGGTAGTTGGTGATCTCAGTACTGTTGCATTTATCAGAGCCCTCAAACGATTCTTAGGAAAAATAGGTCATTGTAAATCACTCCATTGTGATAATGCAACTAATTTTGTAGGAGCTAACAATAAGTTTAATGAGTTATTATCGTCATTACATGCAGCTGAGTCACAAGAATCAATCATAACGACATGTGCAAATGTTGGGATCCAGTTTAATTTCATACCTTCAAGGGCACCTCATATCGGAGAACTTTGGAAAGCTGCTGTAAAATCAGCGAAGCATCTATTAATGAAAAGTGTGGCAACAGCATCGTTAACATATGAGAAGCTTGAGACAGTTGTAATTGAAGCAATTCTCAACTCTCGTCCATTGACACCTCTGTCAAGTAACGCAAATGACTATATCGCACTGACACCAGGACATTTTCTGATAGGTGAACCACTGACATCGAGAGTAGATGTGACATCAAATCAACTTCAAGCAGGATTACTCACAAGATGGAAGTTGGTGTCTCACCTAAAAAATCAATTTTGGAACCGATGGAGTCAAGAATACTTGACTGAGTTACAACAAAGAAATAAATGGTGAACCCGTTGTGAAAATGCCCAACCAGGAACAATGGTGACCATAAAGGAAAACAATATGCCTGTGTTACATTGGCCGCTGGGAAGGATTATAAAAACATACAAGGGAAATGATGGCGCCGTTCGAGTTGCAGATGTGAAAACATCCAGAGGAGTTTGTAAAACGTCAATTCACAAATTCGCACCTCTATTGACAGTGGATGAACCAGGCTGCCATCAGCCGAAAATAGACTCATCAAAACTGGAAACACCTAACAAGATAAGAAGTGTAACACATTGAGTCAACCTTGTCACAACCATAATGTTGACATTGTTGTTTTTACCCTTAATATTGACCACACCTGTTCAAATCAAATCATACAATAATCTTAAAAAAATGCATTTCGAACAAAAAGGACATATTAAAACAATAGCATCATATTGGAATTTAATTGTTTATTATGACTTAAACCCAATAAACCAGGAACTGGCAGCACTAAATAATGGGACAATAGCGATACAACACTTATGCGGACAATTAAATTATAATTCAAGCTGCACAGCGTTACTAAAATATTTTGAACATGTAAGGGATGAATTAACGTTGGATAAAAAATGATCTCAACTATTCGTCAAAAAAGAGCCGCATTGGATATAATCGGGAATGTAGCACATTCACTAAGAAACCATTTACTTGACAACACTTAGCTACCAATACCAGAGGATGATTTGATTCAGTTATATAAGGTGATGTCCGCCAGAGGAGGCATCACAAATAATCACGCAGTATTCAATATTAAAATACCATTAACGAGTGTAGAACAATGCCAGCTGTTTAATGTGTACCAATACCAGTAATAGTTAATAATACTATTATGTCCATAAAAATGGAGTGCTCGATATTAGCAACAAACTCGCATAGAGATAAATACTTTACTCTATCGCAGGATGTTCTGCAAACATGTGTAAAAGTAATAAATGACACTTTTTTGTGTCCACATGTTCAAACAATTTACAACAAAGTCGCTGATTAATGTGCTTGCGAAGTGAATGTATTAACCCAATGGAATTGCGATTTAAAGCGGTCAACCTCAAGCTCCGTGTGGATCCAATTGAAACATGAAAATCAATGGATATTTGGACTAGTTGCACCAACAAAGTTTTCAAGTGTATGTGTTAATGATATTAGCCAAATCATATTAACAGGATCCGGCTGGTTACAACTACCAGCAGAATGTAGTATGAAACATGATTCGATAACACCTCAATTCCGTCGACATATAACATCTACAATATACAATGATTATACAATCAGTAGACTCATGCAGGATATAGTCAGGCCACAATGGTTCAAAACAACTTTATAATTTCTAAACACTACCATGCAGAAAACGCTACCAAACCAAAAACTTGAATTTGCTGAACCTACACGAGACCACACTTATCATCACTTTTCTATTGAATACGGTACTCTCATATTAACATTTGTAATCATCATCTACATCGGTTGGGCACGTTGGACAACACGAAGGTTAACTAAAGCGATACCAGCAGTTCCTCAAGCAATGCCAAGTCATAAAGGATTTGAAGTAACAGTTGAATAGTTGAACCTAAGGGACTGTTAAGGCTTACGCCTTAGATTTACGCCTTAGATTTTTATGTTAACATTATTTATTTAGGTTTAGTAGTTATATTTTTTATTGGTATTTTTATTTTGGAGTATAAGCATATGTTTTAACAATTATTGCTTGCACAATTCAACTGCTACTTGTTTGTTTATAGGCCAACGCTTTGGAATGTTGCAATATCAGCTTTTTTGTGGTTAATGCACTGACGAAAGTGTTTGGCCTCATTAAATTGAAACAATTAATAAATATTTTGTAAATTAATACAGTTTTGGTTAATATGTTAATTATGTAGTTTATTTGTTTTTTTGTCTGTATACTGCAAATTAATGCAGATTTTTAATTTTGATGATTTATCGATTTCGTGCATTGTAATTTTGTATATAAATTGAAACATTAATAATAAACGATCAGATAATCAGATAATCAATAATCTCGCCTTTTATTACGCACGGCAACAGCTTAAGTGCTAGTCTGCCAAATCAACATATTCAAAAAAGCCACAGCTAAAGTGCCAGTCAACTTAAACCTTCAAATATAAAACTACTAGTTTATGTGCTAGATAGTATAAACTTTTAAAGGATAGCCTTTAAGAGTTTTCATAATTTAAAGACATATCCCGAGTATGATTTTTCCAAACCCACTCTTTTAACAGTAATTTATTGCATTCTTCTAAGTCACTTATAGATGAGGAAATCATCAACATCAACAGCCATAAGTATTTATTTATTGTAAAAAGAGGTAGTGTAATGCGACCTGAAAGATTTATTGTGTCCCTTAGTCGGATTAGAGTGTTTCTTCAAGTCCGATTTCCTTAATGAAACACAGTATAGAACCTATCTTTCCTAGTCTTAAATCCTTGTGATCCATGAAACAACCTATTAGGTGTTTCTTCCACTTGTTTTTTAGTCCTCAAGCACTTGGTATGCAGTTTCTCTCTCTTCTCCACAGTATCTGTAGTTTTAGTTGGATTGAATTCCTTACTGCGTTAGGTGATTATTCGATCTACAGTGATTGGTCAATAACCCCGTAATAATTCTTAGATTATTCTTTCATTGTTGTACGCAATCTCTGCAACGTTGTAAGTTGTAAGTCCCTAAAAGTATTTTAGATTGCGATAGTCTTGGTAGCCTTTCTCAACAGAGTTCTCTTTCTTCTTCCTCTGCGCAGTTCATAAAAACCAAATAAAGGTTCTGAGCCTATCATTATTGAAGCCGCGTTACAACTCTTTCAGCAATTTCAGTTGAATAAAGTTTGATTGCAGTTCTTGATGGTTTTTACACTATAATTAACGAGAAAATTTACTGAGATTGAATGAAAAGTAAATATGTGTGGTTAATAAGGTTTTAATGTAAATTATTCTTGAGCCGATACAAATAAAGTTTCGTTAAGGTGCGCGAGTTAAGGATCGGTGTTAACTCAGCGCAAATTTAATAGAAACACAGTACGTTGTGTATAGTTTGAGAAACAAATTTATTCTGGACAAAAATTTCATAAGTACAATTTTTATATATTTAAAATTTACATTTAGGTAATATTCAATACTAATCAATATTGTGACCCAAAAATAATTTATTACACATAAACAAAATTCCACTTGAATATCTATTGCATTTCCTAAACATTACTTAGGTATGCAATGTATTGTTATTGTTGTAGAAATTTCGTAAGTGGGTTACTTTCGAAATTTCTACCACTTGCATTTTTTTATTATTAGCGGATATTTTGTAATACTGTTTTGCCTATGTGCGGCGTTTTTATTTCTAGGTCGAATAAGTGTGACTTATGTGGTAATATGAGTACATTGACATGAGAATACAGTAAATACGATACTAAATATTTGTATACAAAAGCAATATTAAATTTTGTAATAAGAAACTAAGTAAAAGAAAATACAATAAGTGAATAAAACAATAAGTGGCTTGGTAATAAAAAACTAAGCATTTTATATATGAGAAAAGAAATAAAAGATATTACAATGAATATTCTTAAAATAATTTATGTTGTTAATTTATGTGGTGTCATCTTGTGTGGCGGCCTGGTGAGTAATTGTAACTCGCGCGCAAAAATATCACTGTGTGCTTTTGATGTTTTTTCTAAGTGGTAAACATAGAAAGTAATTTAAACATATCACAAACATCCGTGACTCTTTATAGTAAAATTTATAATTTAATTTACGCCAAAAATAAAATTTTAATATATTTATATTGCTTTTATGTAAAAAGTGATTTTTGATTTTGCAGAATTGATTTGTTTTTGAAGTTGTTTATTTGCCTCAAACTCACATTTGCAAACAGCTGATAGAGACAGGGTACGTTATTAGAATTTAATATAGTAAAGAATGAGACACTTGTTTTGTGTTTTATGATAATATTTATTATTTGTTTCGACAAGCCTTAGAGTTATACGTAGAAATAGAATTAAGAGCGTAAGCGTTGGATGCGTTTTAATCGTTGTCAGCATTGAAAGCGTTGGATTCGTTGTGACCGTTAGGAACGTTGTCAGCGTTGAGAGCGTTGTACTCATCGAAATCGTTGTAAGCGTTCAAAACCTTGGGAGCGATTGTAACCGTTGGGAAGTGTTGGACAGCGTTGAAAGCGTTGGAATCGTTGAAACCGTTGTAATCGTTGGAAACGTTGGGAGCGATTGTAACCGCTGGGAAGCGTTGGAGTTGTCGAAATCAGCAATGCTAAACCCGCAATGGCGCGAAATCACGAAAAGTGTTGAAAACGTTGGACAGCGTTAGAAACGTTGGCATCGTTGAAATCGTTGAAATCGTTGAAATCGTTTGGATGAATACCCTTGCCAGCTATAGCCAGGCAAATATTTCCTCCCTGATGCTATGCCTGAACACGCTCATCAGCAATTGTCAAACACTCGTATATTCTACACGTTTCCTACAGTATTGGTGACTCGTTATCCATTCCTCCATTAGCTTTAGCCAAATGGTAGTCCGGATGATTGGCTGAGCTACCCTATGCCAGCTATAGCCAAGTAGGAGGCATCCCACCTATTGTCACTTCACCCCGACCTATTCGTCCATCCACATGGTAATCGTCAGCAATGGCCAGATGAACCATCATGTGTCCAAGTCACCTGGACCGAGCTCTAACTGTTGTTTCTAGCACACACAACTTACCTGCAATGGTGCGAAATCACAAATAGAACGAAAACTATAATTCGGCTTCCTTTTATACAAAATATCTCCCATTGCAGACAACAACGCAACATTTTGAAGCATATAAAGTGCTGTTTTGCACCATAATTCTACCAGAAACTTCTAAAACCAGCATTTTGAAGTAAAAAAATTTAATAAAGAATTGTTGTTTTACAAGGTGATGTTACTCAGTGTGTGAGATCAAATTTCTTGCAAAATTTGGTCCTTACAAATTTCAGTATA